GGGGCTCTTCCTCGGGGAGGAGGCGCTGCGCCGGCCTTCACCCGCCGGCCCCGTTTTCCATCCCCACCCCCGAAGTTTTCGGGTGAGGGTGAAGTCCAGCTGCAGCCTGGCGCACCCTCCCATAAGCAGGTGCCTTGGCGGAGCCGGCTGTTTTTAAAATAATTCCCCTGTGGAAGGCAAAATGCTGCCCCCCGGCACGGAGAACAGATGCCACCGCCCTGTCCCCGTGCCAGAAGCCATCCACCTGCCGAAGTGCTTCTGCCCAGCAGCTTCCTGAGGGCCTGCACTTGGAGCCAGCTGGGCACCCTCGGTTTTTGTGCCCCAGATTGTGCACTAGAATCATCTGGAAAAAAAAAAAATCTTGTTTTCTTCTGGATTTTTTTTCAAGGCACTTTGCATATGGAAACGTTACTAGAGCGAGCCTTCCTTGTTTCTGTAAGGGTGAGGGAGTTGCTGCCGAGCAGCCTCCCAGCCAGCTGGAGGAACGAGGCACCCCCGTTTTGTCATGCAGCGAACGCCTCGGGATGAGGATGTCAATGAATAACTTAAAAATGGTAGCGTGGGTTCTTGTCTGCCTGGTGGCCTTCGCACAGCGCTTTCAGGTGGCTGAGAGCAGGCCCGTCTTCTCTGGATTTATCTGGGAAACCTGTTTCTTTGCAGAAATGTAAAATCAGGTTTTTCATTGCCCTGCTTCATTATAAAGCAGTCCAGTGAAATCAATGTTGCATGGATCTGGACGATGGCAATATCAGCCTCTGAGACCAGGGGAAAGTCACCAATGGGCTGTGGCACCTCTGCTTCTAAGGGCAGAGGCACAAAAATCCATGCTCTAGGTTTCTCTATCCTGTCTGTTCAGAGGTATGAGTCTGATTTATTATTCTGAAAATACCCTTCCTGATTGCTCAGCAGACTAAATAATTCTCTGTCCCAAGTATCTACCCCAGTTCCTTCCACAGCAGTCAGGGAGTTCTAAACCATTTCCAGCTGGTTACTAGTTTGAACTTCAAAGCACAAAACAAAGCCAAGAATGTCATAGGTAGTGCCCCAGAAAATTAAAAATGTAAGCATTTACTTCAAAAAATACATGTAATGCCACACTTGAAAATAGCTTTCATTATTCATGCGAATTAATCTCAGCTGAGATTTGATTTTCGATTGCTAATGCTGAAATGGACTTTGTCCACCTTTTGGTTTAGATCAAAAAGGAGCTTCAGAGGAACAAGCTTCAAGAATGCAGCAGGAAATTGGTATTGTCCTGTTCCTATGACATTTCTTTCACTCACTTTCTTTCACGTCCCAGCGAGGTCTACATAATGATAGCAGAATTTGTACAGTGCAACAGTGACCATTTCCACCTGTGAAGCTGGACTGACCTGGTACGAAGTTTATGCGCTGGTCTGGTCTGGTCTGAAACAATCAACTGTAGCAGTGGTACATAGTTTGCATGCATTTAATATATTGAAGCACGTAATACTTGCCTCTTGGCTAGTGGTAGTTACAGAAACCTGTTGTGCATTAATTAAGAGTCCTATGGGGCTGCATGCCTAGGAATTATGAAAGTCCTCTCCTTCTGTTTTGTCTTTGAGAGGCATAGGTGAAAAGTGTTCCATTTCCAATTCTGAATTGGAATGAAGGCACTTCTGGAGCACACATTGGTAGTGGAAGAGGCCAAAAATTCCTGTACAAACTGCAAGGAGATCTGTGAAGGCTAGTGCGCTGAAACCCCCATTTTTTCTGGTTCCCCACATGAAGCCCTCCTCCTCCTCCTCAGCTGCATCCAAGATCACAGAAAGGGCAATACAGCAGGGACAAAACTGACCGCAAATTATTCTATAGGATGTGCCTTTCCTGGGTTTTATTAAAGATTATTTGAAGTGTTTGAAATACAGAAAACTTCCCTCAAACATGTTTGCAGCCAACACTGATATGTTTCACCAAGGATAGTCATAAATACAAGTTTATTTTCCAAACATTCCACCTGCATAAGTATTAAAAATTATGTTGTATACTGAAATTATATTTTAACTCTTGACAAACACATTTTTACATGTATCCCACAATATATCCATTTCTCGAGGAAAGAAGAACCTCTGCACCTGGCCTAGACTCAGGCTACTGGTATGCCATTCTCTGTGGTTCCTCGGTACCTTGTTGCAAGCAACTGCAAGGCTTGCTTTGGGTTTCACCACAGGTTGGGAACATGTCTCTCATGTTGGTGTGGTGAGTACTTTCTGAGTGGCTGTTCTGAACAACATAACAGCCCCAGTCTGTCATCTTTTTATTTCAGCACAGGCGGCTGCGATACCCGGTATTTTTCTCCTACATTTCCTTTCCTTGCTGTATCTTGCACAGCTGAACCCTAGTTCATACCTTCAGCCTTGACAGCCTAAGTGAGAAATTTTGCACCCTTCCATTTCTGGTCCTAGCCATTCTGTGGAAAGCCAAATTTGTTATCAGCCTATAATTTCTAGAAAATTACCTAAAAAAAAAATACCTAAAAAGAAATTACCTAAGAAAAACTAGCCTAAAACAGGAAGAAGAATAATCTCTGCCCTCTACACCAAGAAGCCATGACCACTAAAGACAGGAAAGGTACAAATGGCCTGTGGTGACCTGCAATAGGATGTGGTGGGTGGGTGAGTGATGCTTCACAGTGAGAGAAATTTGATTTTGATACATCTGTTTTTGCTACAAACACGTGAAAAGAAAATTAAAACAAATTTAAAAATCCATATTACTTAGATGAAGACTACTCCCATTCATAACTTGTTCAATACTAGATACTAATTATGCTTAGCAAATATATCATTGACCATTTCTTCTTTTAAAATATCTTTCTACACTACAAGAATGTTTATGACACTGTTGTCTTCAAGGATCCTCAAAACCCCATGCAAGAAAGTGAAAAATACCTGAAATAAATTAAACAATTTAAGAGGAGATAAAGATTGTTCCAAACAGAGGAAGAAGAACCAGATCTCCTGTTGGGCGTATTGTTTCTGATTTTGAAGCTGGGATCTTCACTGGCATGTGTCAAGAAAAATACTTGCCAGAGAAAGTACTTATACCCTTCATAAGTACTTACACTTTTTTCCCTCTAGACAATATAAGAAAAAGCTGAAAGTCTTCAGTCCCTTAAAGCATATGTACATTTGTACTTTGAATAAGAAGCACATACAAAGCTTTCTAGTCACCACTGAACATAAGCAAAAAATACTTGGAAATAAAAAGTATTATATTTAGTAAAAGCCAAATACATCTGTCAGAAAATATGAATTGGTTTGTATTTGTCATTATTTATGCATTCATTTTTAAGACATAAACTTCTTATAGGTCAAGGCATTTGTGTATAATGTAAAAAATAGGGTTTGAATAAAAAAGCATGAAACTTAAATGCTTAAGAGCAGAAATAATAAAAGTTTCTTGCTTTTAGCCTGCCATTTGATTACACTTCTGAATAGCTTTCAACACTTGGAAATTCTGTTACAATAATAGTCTCAGCTATTGTGTTTGATGACTTGTTAGCTCTAATTCCATGATTAACAGAGACATTCCCATGTATGAACAGCAATATTACCATATATTTGTCTCCAAATATTGATTTTTTTCATTGTTATCTGTACAAATTCTGTCCTTTCTGTAGAGAGTCAATAATAACTCAAAACTTTAATTTTGCCCTAATGCATTTTAGTACGAAATTCCTATAAGTGACTGAGTTGCTTGTTAAGAACAGTGGAGTGATGTTTACAAATGCAATTTAGACTGCAATACTGAGGAAAGCCGTAGACAAATAATTAGTAGAGATAATTTCCCTAGAGGGGAATATTAGTGTTTACTTTTTTACGTGTTTTTAAACCAAATCCTAAATCCTTACTCCTGATCTTGTTGAGCAAGCTGTTTGCTAAGTTCATTGGAAACAATATCTAAGTATGTTCATGCTCATAGTAAATAATTACTACCTAATGTCAATTCCTCCACTAATTGTATTTCTTATGCTTATTTGTTTGTGCTGTGGGATGTCTTAGAAAGTATCTCTTAGTAAAAAAGGCTTTGGATTTTCTTCTGTGCTTGGTTCTGCCATTCATTTTCTGCATGACCTCTGTGAAAGTACTTAATCATTCTTAATAGCGTGAGTGGAACA